AGTAGTAGCAGAAGTAGTAGTAGAAGTAGTAGTAGTAGTAGTAGTAGTAGTAGTAGTAGTATTAAGAAACGAAACAACTAGAACAACCATGCAGATGACGATGATGATGGTGGTGGTGGTGATGATGACGATGGTGATGATGGTGGTGGTGGTGGTGATGATGAAGCTGGTGGTGGTGGTGATGATGATACCGGAAGCTTGGGTTGGGGGGGATTTATGCTCAGTCTACAAGCCACCCAAAGATCCTAAACCCCTATATCACCCTTATAATAAAGGAAATTTGTGGAATCTCATAGTACCCTTTCAAATATCCCTTTAAAGGGAACCATAAACCTAAACTCAGTAAAGCAGAGAAACACACGCCACAAGCCTCGATCTTTCCAGCAGTGTCAAAGGACTGCCGATCGAGGAGGTCCTTTGGTCTGTGGGCTTTTCTTTCAGAATTCCTCTACCGATAAGGGTGGGATTCATAAGTATGATATAAAGGCTCCAGAAAAGTTTTAGGGTTACAGGGTTGGGGTTTGGACAGTCTTTGTCGTGTTTTTCTCGGGCTTCAAGATTTGGGCGTGGGCTTTGGGGGCCAGAGGGGGTTCGGGGACTTAGGGTCGCAGGGTTGAGGTTTGGAGGCTATAGGGTTGAGGGGTTTTGAGGTTTGCCGGTTGTGGACTCGGACGTTTTTTCCGAGTTTGAGATCTGGGCTTTATTGGGTGAGGCTTGGTGGCTCTCGGTATCAGGGGTTGGCGCTGGGCGGTTCTAGTGTTTAGGGGTTGAGAGTTGGGTGCATTAAGGGTGGCGGTTTGGACGGTTTAGTGTTTAAGGGTTAACTGCTTGAGTCTCTCTAGTTTTCCGGGGGTTGGGGTTTGAGGCTTTTGGGGGTGATTAGATTCTAGTCTTGAGGGTTTTGGGTTGGTGTATGCTTGTTTTATCAAGTTAGGTGTGAAACCTTTCCCGAGCTGCACCTGCCATGGGTTTTAGGGTTGCGGACGCACTCTTGAGGCCTGGGTTCGCGTTTTGATGGCGAACGGGCTCTTGAGGTGGTCCTTTATAGGATGTTGCTTTTTAAAACCCTAAACCCTAAACCCTCAACCCTAACCCGAAACCCTAAACCCTCAACCCTAACCCGAAACCCCAAACCCTAAACCTTATACCTTCAAACTCCGAGGCTAGCTTCCTGGTGGCAGTTTTCCTTGGAGGGGGGGGAGTCTCGGCTCTCCGGAGTTGGGGATCTACAAGTTGAAGGTCCAGGGTTACTGTCGGGCTTTATGGGTGGTTGTCAAAATTATGGTCCCTTTTTGGGTTCTTATTAGAATACGGCACCTATTATTTAGGGTACCCCAAAAGGGACCCTAATTTAGAGAACTACCCACTTATAGATACTTATAATTTATAAACCCTGAACCTGAACCCTAAACCCCTAAACCCTAAACCCTAAACCCTAAACCCTAATTTAGAGAACTACCCTTATGAAGGGGCTGACATGCTTCCTCTTGTCGCCGCGGTTTGGCGCCCGCTCTTGGATTTGTGGCAGACCCGAGCTGTTTCCAAACCCGACAAGATCCAGGTTTAGGGTTTAGGGTT